GCTCCCAATCTAATCATGGAACCTTCAGAATCACAAGACATTGAGTGTGAGACATTTACAAACCTGTGTACTAGCCCGAGTGTACTAGTTAGGTCACCAGTTAGGCATACAGACCATCCAACAACACCAAAAGTCAGTGTTCAAACCCAGCACCATAGTTCTACTCCAGATAGGGTTATAACATATACTCGATCAGGTCGAGCTTCCAAACCAGTTAACAAGATGAACTTGTAGACTAGTTGTAGTGCTTCGGTTCGAACAATGTTACAGTTTAGTAGTTTAGTAACTTTACTAGTCAATGTGTTTACTAGTCAGTTTGAGTTTATAATAGTTAGATTGGTCAGTTATACATCCATTGCAGTATTTGTAGAAGGAATCTACCTAAGTAAGGGAGATGTAGTGTTAGCCATATATACATAGTTATATGATACAGACTATAGGCGGACTATTGCGAGTCTACTATGAAACAGACTATAACGGTATGTACTGATTGTTGTGTATTGTGTACTACGTCACGATAATTGAATAAAGCATGGCTTGACCCAGCCACATGCGTTGTCTCTGTATCACGAACAAACTAGGGCGAAAACAACTTACAACAATATCTAGGAACGTCATCCATATCACGTTTCGATGTGTGTATATTTGTGGCGAATTTCGGGAGCGTCATCTCAACGATATCCCGTGCAACCACACGATAATATCATCCTGATAGAGAATGCACGTGATTAGACCTCCAGTAGTGATGGTGCGATCTAACATACCACATAGAGCCCTTAAAGATGGTCGTTACACGGCCAAAGGGAGATAACCTCTCAAAAATCCTCTACCGGTCACATACCAGTTTTACTTCCCCATTGAGAAAAGTCCATGGTTACGACCGATCACGTTTTGACTTGAGAAGACACACGAAATAGACTATAACGGTAAGCCAAGCTTCGTATTTACGATTACAAAATAAGACAGACTATCGCATTGGCATTTAGGATGTCATCGATTCGGACAAAGCACAGGAGTTCGTTACAAATGTCTGAAATACACATATGCTAGACTGATATGGGTCACAGTGTATATATACTTTACTCAATAGGTTACACATTTTACTTCCTCTTGTTGTATTTTATGTTTAACATATATGATTTAAGGGTACATTCGCGTATCCGTTGAACCTGTAAAGAAAAGGTACAGATCTGAACCGAGGCTGAATGTATCAAACAGCTGAGCTGCCCTCACTGGGAACGGGGCTGACTGGGACTGTCGCTGACCAGGACCGTTGCATATTGTGGCGTTTTCATACACTTGTTTTAGCAAAATCTGCAATGATTTGCATCAATAAATGACTAATGTTTAGCATGGGAAAGTATCAGCATCAAATTATCAAGACAAGGAGATTGTGATCATTGTTTTTAATACAAAAAGTGTAGCAGATATTATAATGCGGAGTTAGAATATAACAGCTACCTCCCTTTGATCATGTAGAGATCTATGTAAAATGAACAACGAAATGCTAAATATATACATCTAATAACATACACGGTCCTGAACGGGGACATCCTGAACAGGAAATTAAATGTTAAATATATTCTTTGTAATTCTTCACATTATTAATGTTAGCAGCAATGAATCGGTCAAGCGATGTGTCATAATGATTTTTAAATGAAAAATAGGTTACATGAACGAGGAAATCAAATGTTAAATATATCCGTTGTAAGTCTTCACTTTAGTAAAGATAGTAATGCATACGGTCAAAAGAGAAGTCATAATGACTTTCAAATGCAAAAATAGGCAAAAAATCGACGAATTACTAAATATATACATCTTATAACATACACGGTCCCGAGCGTGGACATCATGATCAGGAAATCAAATGTTAGGTGTTACCGTTTATTTTTCGTCATATAAGTTAAGTTAGGGATGAACACGGTCAAAAGATGTGTCATAATGATTTTCAAAAGAAAAAGAAGTAACTTGAACTACAAAATACTGAACGTAAACACGGTCCTGAATGTGGACATCCTGGATACAGGATATCAAATGTTAAATATATCCTTTGTAATTCTTCACATTATTACGTCAGCAGCAATGAATCGGTCAAGCGATGTGTCATAATGATTTTTAAAAAGAAAAATAGGTAAAATGAACGACGAAATACTAAATATATACATCTAATAACAGACACGGTCCTGAGCGGGGACATCCTGATCAGGAAATCAAATGTTAAATGTATCTGTTATTATTCTTCACATCAGTAAAGTTAGCAATGAATACGGTCAAAACATATGTCATAATGACTTTTAAATGGAAACATTTGAACATGAACGAGGAAATACTTTTAAATACATACATCTTATAACATGCACAGTCCTGAGAGGGGACATCCTGTTCAGGAAATCAAATGTTAAATATATCCGTTGTGAATACTCTTATTAGTAAAGTTAGCAACGAATACGGTTAAAAGATGTGTCATTATGATTTTCAAAAGAAAAAGAAGTAACTTGAACTACAAAATACTGAATGTATACATCTTACAAGAAACACGGTCCTGAATGTGGACATCCTGATAAGCATATCAACTGTTAAATATATCCTTTCTAATTCTTCACATTATTAACGTCAGCAGCAATGAATCGGCCAAGCGGTGTGTCATAATGATTTTTAAATGAAAAATAGGTTACATGAACGAGGAAATACTAAATATTTACATCTTGTAACAGACACGGTCCTGAGCGGGGACATCCTGATCAGGTCAAACCACATGTAGATTTTAAGATCCATTTTGTTATTCAGTGGACGCGTCAGAGGACGGCATACTATTATTGATACATTTTTTTTATTCTCCAAAACTGTGCATTTTTTGCTCTGCTTATAGAACGGTCCAAGTGCGTTCGTTTATCGTGGAATACTTCTGCGCCACACGTACCGTTTCACCGGGATACGCTAATGTAGCCCAGGTTAGCTGGACTTAGTATTTTTGTGACTTCTGTGATCTGTGATACCTGTAGGTACGGTACGTGGGTCTACAGTAGTATTTTTGTGACTTCTGTGATCTGTAATACCTATACGGTACGTGGGTCTACTTTAGGGAATGTAGACCCAGGTATGTCACGCAACAAGGACATATTCGTTAAAAATCAAACATAGTTCTCGATAACAAATTTAATCGTTGCAGCTTTTAGGCAGCAATTAAAACACATATGTAAACTAAATCTCAATCTCATACTAGCTGTTGAGAGGCATACCGATCACAAATCTGAATCACATAACCTCAACTTCCTCGGTTATATTTAGCAGTCGTATATGAGATCAAAGTACTGATAGTTCTGCGACACTGACACTATCAGCAATGGGACGTATAGAATAGTATTTCCCTGATATGGTTATGGTACAGCAGAATGTGTTTAAGAGTTGCTCGGCACAGGGTTCCTTGAGGGAGTTAGACCTCAGACGACGTGAATGTCCCTTTAGTACGGTATGTTGTCATTATAACTCACTTTAATTCACAGAAATATAGGAGAATACCTATTTTGGAAATATAATATTTGCGCTTAAGGTAGGTTAATTATATCGGCAAATGTACTCATGTAAAAAAACTATTGAAAAAACAGAATGATAATAGCTGGGGTCTTATGAAGAACTGTTCTCGTTGCAGGACCTGGTAATATACGTTATCTAATACATATCACTCTGACTACAATGTCAGC